AGAAAGGTCCTTGTAAGTGCTGACCGATGTGGTTTTTTACTTATCTTCGCATCCAAGCCCGACCGGCATCCCCGCTTCTGCTTCCTCTCTCTCCGCCGCCTTTTCCGCCTGCTGGGCGGGCTGACCATCCACGGAGACCCCGGTGGTCTCGCTATGTCCTCCGGTATGTTGTGTGTTCTCTGGTAATCGCCAGTAACACAGAGATTGTGTCTAAAACCCAGGTTGATTAGGTTCTGGCGACTGTATTGGGTGACGGCGTCACATAAATAAAAAAATTCACTCAAAAAAGGTACTATATACAGTAAAAACAAACACCAAGTTAGAGAGCTACGAGCCGCTGCACCCGTGCGCGCCGCCACCTTGCTTTCATTTAGTCAGGGTGGAGGGAATTATCATTATCAACTGGCGTAAAAATAGCACAGCATTTGATAAAAATAACATTAAGCCAACAGTGAAGCATGGTGGTGGCAGTGTGATGGTCTGGGGCTGCTTTGCTACCTCAGGACCAGGACTACTTGCTGTGATTGATCAAACAATGAATTCTGCTGTCTACCAGAAAATCCTGAAGGAGAACGTCCGGCCAGCAGTTCAACTCAAGTGCTCTTGGATCATGCAGCAGGACAACAATCCGAAACACATCAGCAAGTCCACTTTTGAATGGCTCAAAAAAACAAAATTATGGTTTTGGAGTGGCCAAGTCAGTGTCCGGATTTAAATCCAATTGAGATGATGTGGTGTGACCTTAAATGGGCAGTTCATGCTAGAAAAAATCCAATATGGCGGAGTTGAAACAATTCTATAAAGAGGAGTGGGCCAAAATTCCTCCACAGTGATATGAAAGACTCATCACCAATTATCACAAATGCTTGATTTCAGTTATTGGTGCCAAGGGTGGCACAACCTGTTATTAGGTTCAGAGGGCAATTACTCTTTCACATAGGGCCAGATAGGTTTGAGTTTTTTTTGGTGCCTTAATAAATCAACTCATCATTTAGAAACTGCATTTGTATTTCCTTAGGTTGTCTCTGTGTGATATTACAATTGGTTTGATGATCTGAAACCTTTGTGTCTAATAACTATGCAAAAAATACAGAAAGCAGGAACAGGGCAAACACTTTTTCACAGCACTGTATTAGTTTAAAGGTGTGCATATTTATGCAACAAGGTTATTTTAAGTTTTTATTTTTTGCTCATGAAGATTTCAGTTTGTTTTTCATTTGCCTATTACATGTTATAGGTCACATGAAAAGTGGAAAAAAGTTGTGAAATTATTTATCTTTGTGTCTTTTTTTTTACATCACAAAAACCTGGCATTTGTACAAGGGTGTGTAGACTTTTTATATTCACTGTATATGTGTGTGTGTGTGTGTGTGTGTGTGAGTGTGTGGCTTTAGAGTTGTATTTAAGTGCCAGAGATAGTGTGTAATTTATACTGTGTGGCTTGGGGCTATAAATACCCTACTAATTTCACCCAGTATAGTTATACCTGTCCTTGCTGAACATTATAGGTCATAGGTTTTACAATTTAGATCACAACATACTGAATGACCAGATTTGGCTATTAAGTGTTTTTAACAAGGGGAAAAACCATGAGTTGGCTTTGAAACTCATTGATTTTACCACGGAGTTCCTTTCTTCAACCCCACTTGCAGTCTTTAGGCTATGCTAAAAGACTTGATCTAATGGTCAGCGTGAAAGATGAAGGACTCCAGCCGATCCCCAACACCCACATTGCTTGTCGGTCTCTCAATATATCATCATATATACAATTTCTTTCAAAGAGTAAGGAGTAATAAAATGGAGATGAGAAGAAGTCTATCTGGAAATGTGTACCAAAATATTCAGTTAGTAAAAATAGATCAATAAAGATTTAAATAGAAAAAGTTATTGATTTTAAATAAAAAAAGATGTCTAAAGAATAGGGCCACATGGTGGATAAGTGGTTTGTACTTTTGCGTAATAACAAAATGGTTTGCTAGGTTTGATCCCCAATGGTAACTGATGGTCTTTCTGTCGTTGTGTTGAGAGTAAATGTTCCATAAACATGCAAGATTAGGGTAAATGGACAATCTTAATTGACCATAGGGATGAAGGTGAGTGTGGTTGTTGTATATATATGTGGCCCAATGATAGACTGGTTAGCGCTTCAGCGTGTGTCCTACCCCCTGATAACTGCAGGTTTTGGTGCTCCTCTGATCTTCAAAAATATTTAACAGTAGTAGGTGAATGGATGAATTAATAAAATAATGTCCAAAGCAGGGAGAGGTTTCTGGTGTTAGTCAGTGGTACTGTTCCTGGACCTGCATTTCCTGGCCTATTGAAATCGGCTTTTAAAAGCGTTTCATTTTATCGTCTATTAGTTGATCAGAAATATACCTATATGTGACTTTTTGTGGAAGGAAATGCACACAGGAGCCGCAGCTTAACTTCCTCACCAGGACTTGGGTAGAAGGTTAAGAATAGGGGCACATTTTTAAGAAGTTCTGTTCAGGTTTTATTGATAGAAAAGAAATGATTATCAGTGACGATCTTTAAAAAAAACTGAATTGTTTTCACAGCACTCATGCTTTCCGTTTCATGTTAAACGTTCAATAGGCATTTATATAATCCTTAGATGTAAACTCCAACTTCAGATATGTGTATACTTTAGTCTCTCTTTGTGTACTATTGATTCGGACTGGACTGTTGTGATTTTTATTTATATTGTGTGGTCAGGTTAGACTCAACAATGACATCATTTCCTTCTTTTTAGTGTATGTCTGAGATTACTTTTTTTGTTTTGAGGGTGATGCAAGGTTTTGTAAGGGAATTAGGGACATGAAATAATTGGATGACACACAAAGTTGAATAGGGTGATGTCATACGATTGTGTTCAGCACAGCAGTAGGTGAGTAATATGACAGGATAGATGGATTTTTTTATCAGGATCACATATCCTATACCAAGCATCTATTGAGCCACCTCTTCTTCTGTTTTCACACTATCTCCAGCCTGATTTACTCCTGTTTTGTAATTGTCCAACTGTGACCCAGCTTACAGGGTCACACATTACTGTTACATTTACTGTGTTAAAAGATATTAAAATTAACCAAATCATTGTTTGCTTTTACCCTCCCAGAATAATTGCCATGTGTGGAGACTATTACATTGGTGGACGGCGGTTCTCGTCTCTATCAGACCTGATTGGTTATTACAGCTATGTGTCTTGTCTGCTAAAGGGAGAAAAATTGCTAACTCCAGTGGCTCCTCCAGAGGTAAGAGTCAGTGTCTCAGAGTGGACAGAATATCTGGAATACTTTGTTTAGAACTTATTTTTAAACCTTTTGGTTAATGATGGATGATAGGCCGTAAGGTGAACCACGTAAAGTCCTTTAGAAATTGAATTCCGCTCCAACGTCTGGGAACTACATGATCTCAACTTCATAAATAAGAACGAGTTACGTTAAACTTACAGCAAAAAATTTGTCGCAAAATATCCTGCCCGTTTTTTATATCGATGCATTTTATAAAGAACTAGCGTCTTCAGGACGCAATAAGATTTTGGTGCGCGAGCGGTTCGACACATGATCGTGCTACACCAATCGAGTAGCTGATTGATGTCAACACATCTGGCAACACGGCTTCCTCTCTATACATACATATTTGCAAAGCAGTGCAAATGTTGAGTGGTCTAAGTTAAAGTTAGCACCCAGATTTTTAAAACTCTTAAGGTACTCTTCCCGCTCACTTGCCACAGAAAATGTCTTTCTTTTTCCTTTACCATAAAAGGCACTTGTGGAGTCACACCCAGAGAATGTGCATGCCAATCAAGGCTGAACACACACTGGTTCCAAGAGCTGATGACACCTTGGTAATGTCAATGATGCGTGTCCTGTTGCCCGTCCCTGTGAAAAAATATAAGCTGCATGGTAAATTTGTCTACATACTTACAGCAATGACTCCCACATCAGTGTCAGGGCTCTTAATGATGACAGTTGCATGCTCTTTTGCAGCATGTTGTGCATGCAAAAACACCCTTGACTCACATTCTTCATGATCACACCGCAGGTCTTCAACAGCATGAACAGATTGTACACCTGATTGTAC